CGGATCCTGCTGAAAAAATTATAGCTTTTTTCCCCATCATGGAAATCAACCCCGGTCTTCCGGGTGACAGGCGTGGTTAGTCACCTCTATACTAATGGGGACAATAAGTTCCGGACTTCCGTGATGCTGCCCTCACTGTGACAGGTCCGTTAGTTCTGCCAGCCCCTAAAGGCGTCTTCCTCACGGAAACACAAAAGCCTGCGGTACCCGGCCAGAACTCTCCCCTAACAGGACTAGGACCCCCGCTCTTGAGACCACTGGTGGCTTCCGCCTGTCCCTTGGAGCTTTGGAGAGCGGGTATGAGAGGTAAGACGTGGCTGAGGGTCACACCCATGCCAGCAAAATAGGCTGATGCGACACTTGGGCCTGCTTGCGTCGTGTCGGGTTGAGTGGTGCGTTAAGGGCATTTCCTAAGGTACAGCGATTTCGACCTTTAGTGATTCTTTAGTCCCGGAGGGTTTGGATTCTGTACTCTGGGGCACCGGGGGTAGCGGGCCTGAATATTGTAGGCCGAGCTTATAGTAGGATCGAGCCTAAAACTGTTGTATTCCTGGAATCCTCAGGTGACTTTCAAGTGAAATCTTGGACGAAAGGGGTAATAAGCAACAGGCAGAAGAGAAATCAGAGGCCACATCACACAGATTGTGAGAGTATTAGCTTTTATTTAGAAAGCAACGTGAAACTACCAAAGGTTTTGGAACCTTATTGAGTTTTAGGAATATTCTTTCCCTTGCTGTGTTCAGAACAGACTGTACCTTTGCAAGGATAGAAGGGGCAAGTTGAGAGGGTGCCCGGGAAGAATGCAGCTCTCCATTGGAGAAGATAGAGGCCTATGCCGGAGTAGTGTGTAGAGTAGTGAAATGTGTTAAAATCTAGGTAAGTAGACCCACCAAAGGTTTTTTTTTTTTAATCTACAAATTTTACAGTTACTTTTTGTACCATTTTGAAAGAGGGCTTAAAGGTTTAAAAGGTCCAATGCCTTCAGGCTGTAGAGATGACTCTCAGAACACTGACTGCTCTCAGAGTTCAGCTCCCAGTATCAACTGAGATTCACAACTCCAGTTTCAAAAGATCCAACACTCCCTCCTGGACCTCCAGGCACCTGCAGTCATATGCATGTAACTACACAAGACATTCATATATAAAAAATTCTTAATTAGTATAATGAGAACAATCTGTTTCTTATTATCTCTTCACAGTTAATAAAAATTGGGGATAAATTGAACATTCATGCCTGGAGTCTCCGGAGATATGCAGAGCCTATAGAGATTTCATTGTAGGAGGAAGCAAAGTGGGATTAAGTGTCTCATGTTTCTTGTGTTTGCTGACATAAACATGAGGAAATGATATAGCAACAGACAAAGATAAGAGCACACCAGTGTAGTAATGGACATTGCTATACATGATACAGTAGACATGTAGGTTTCCGTGGTGGTCCCTGTAATCCGAGGGTACGCATAAGCTATGCATTTTTCCTGAGTTTGTTAACTGCAGTGACGAAGCTAACATGGTCCAGAGACTCCCTGTACTCCCATACACGTCATCAAAGGACTGATTGCTGTGAGGTTTTAGTCCAGGGCACAGGGCTGAGCTTGCTTATCTCTATATAAAATCAGGAGTTTTCTAAATCACTTTTCCTTTACACATTTGATGTATAGTATATGTAGTAGCCACCACCCTTGAAATAGTTAATGTTGAGTCTAAACTGAAATATGCTGGAGGCAAAACAATATATGTTGGCTTTTTGGAAATTAAAAAGTGTAGCAGGCTTTCTCTTGGGCCACCAACCAGCTCCCAAATCATTAGTTGGGGATGCTTGGCCTTAGCTCTTATTTTAATCTGTTTTTCTTTATCTACATTTTTCCTCTGAGCTTTTTACCTTTCTTTCTGTCTATCTTAGTTTTTTGCTGACTCCATGCACGGCTGCCTGGCTTCTGACCCCGGGCATATCCCTCTTTCTGCCTGGTTCTCTTCATTCCTTCTTCTCTCCTCCCTTGAGCATAGATTCCTCCTCCTATTTATTCTTTCTGCCCACCTGCCCCAAATATCCCTCTTCCGCCTAGCTATTGGCCATTCAGCTTTTTATTAGAACAGTCAGGTGCCTTACGCAGGCAAGGTGAAACAGCAACACATCTTTACATAATTAAACAAATGCAGCATAAACAAATGTAACACACCTTTACGCAGTTAAAGTAATATACCACAACCTAAACAGATGTAACACATCATTACATAGTTAAAATAATATTCCATAACACTTCCCCCTTTTTGTCTAAATAAAAAGAAAGGTTTTAACTTTAACATAGTAAAACTATATATAATAAGAGCAACCATCAAACAAGAATTATGTTTACAATATTCAGTCCACTTGTATTTTGGGAAGAATCAAAGAAAATACTATCTATCCTATCCTGGCGAGTCCAAAGCTCTGTACCTAATTTACCTTTTATAATAACTAAATAAAACTATATTAGTCTTCAACTTCATCAAAGACTACAGAAGAATATAATATTACCAGAGAAAACAGGAAGTGCAGTACAAGTCACTTCCAAAAGAACAGACGTCTTACTGCCTGTTAAGTCTCCCAAGGTTCCTCTGAAACATTGATGTATTCATCTTTGGCCTACAGCCTAGAAGATCTGGCAGACTTTTCTGTGAAGCAGGAATTTTGAAGGATTGCTCCACCATTTTTGGCGAAGTTTGGCAGTCTTTGTGTTCTGCTTGTCCAATTTGTTCAGCATACTGTCAGCAGTCAAGGCAAGGTCTGTTTCTCGCCCAAACACCTAGCTTTGCCACAGTGAAAGCAAACTCCATTTGGAGGTTCTTTTTTGCCGATCATACTTTCTGAAGTAAATTGGTGCTGACATGTCTTACTATCATGAAAATCTTTAGGTTATTAAACATGTTAAATGCTATATTCTGTAGATCTCTGAAGTGTTTAAAGATCACCTATCTATCTAAAATATATCTCTGTATGATCTTGAAAACATACCTAATATGACTGCAAGTTTGATCATTAAGATGACTACTAACCTGCGTTTCTTAATTATACTTTACATTTTTAATGAGCTGCATAAGTACAATACCCCCAATAGTAGGAACATACATGCAGTGTAACAAAAAAACTTTAAGTTTGTATCAATATACCATATCATACCAATGTAAAATATTTGATGTTAATAGTTGTCTTTTTATCCTATATTCCCCCTACATGATGACAAACATCCGTAACCCATCAAATGGTCAAAAACCACCCACCCCACCTCTTGGAAATGTGGACATTGTGTTCTCTAGACTGTTAATTGTTCTCTGTGGATGACAACTTCTTTCAGGAACCTGAGAAAATTGAGACAATGTTCAAGTACTAAGAAAACTAGCTATAAGATTTGTTTTCAGTCTCTATGCAATGGGAAAGCATAAGGTTTATCAGCAGTCCTGGCTAGAATAGTCTGTAAGGCTTGACTATGTCAGCCAGCAGCCTTGAAGCTGTTCTAGATGCAGAACCCTGAGGTAACTGCAACAGAGGCTCTCTGAGAGGCTGGACTACATGGACCACCTGTTTTGAGTGTGTCCAGTCCTTGCTTTGAAAACACATAAACTTTCAAAGGTAACATGCATATCAGCATCAACACAGGTATGGACTGTCCATTGTACAAACATGGTTTACTTCTGCTTATGTTTGAGCAGGTAAAATATACATAACCTGTCTTGTGGTTTTTCTAGGTTTATTTCTTTACGTCTGTAGCCAAGATTTTTAGGAGGTCTCCCCTGATCAAACCTTATATCTATTAACCTTGAAGTGTTCCACCACTTCTTTCAGTTGCCTGTGAAAACGAAAGCATAACCCCTTCCCCAACATGATACATTTTCTGTCTTCCATTTTAAAGTAAAGGCGCCATGAAGTGTCTAGGTTGGTTTATAATTCAGCAGTCCTTTTCACACTTTCAGCAGCTTCTGTTCTCTCGTCAGCAGTCAAGAAACTCGAAGTTAGCACAACACCACACAGGATCCAGACTCCCCGCACATTTTCCTTCTTTATGTGGCTTTTTTCTTTTATATTATTTTACTCTTTCTTTATAGACTTTATTATTTATAAACTGTCTACTTTTTTCTATGATTGTCTATACCTATTTTCTTTTCTCCCTAAGTCTACGAACACTTTAAAACACACTGTAACCTGTTTAGAGGTTTTTTTTTTTTTTTTTTTTTTTTTTTTTTTTTTTTTTTTTTTTCTGCCTGGACCAGTCTTTACTGTGTCTCTAGCCTTATAAGCCAAACCTTACAGGGTTTGCACTGGTGGCTGACTCCACCTCATTCAGGTCAATGAAAGCCAAGCTTTAGGCCCTATGAGCCTGGCTGAGAGCTGTGTTCAAATGGGAGCTGTAGTCCACCCACACCCCCACCCCCGCTCTGGGAAGTTGATACCCCCCTACTGTGGCATTCACAGAGGAGGGAGAGATTTACTTAGCCTGCTGTTCTACTTAGCATGCTTGTATGGCAGAGCCTCTTAAAGGAGACATATCCTCCTCTTCCTTCTTCTCCTCTTCCTTCTTTTTCCTTTTTCAGTTTTCTCAAGCCCTATATGGAAATTCAGGCTCCACATTGGAACGCCAAAAAAGTGTTACTGAAACATTCTGACAAAGGTTGTAAAAGCAGCCGGGCGTTGGTGGCTTACGCCTTTAATCCAGCACTCAGGAGGCAGAGGCAGGCGGATCTCTGTGAGTTCGAGGCCAGCCTGGTCTCCAGAGTGAGTGCCAGGATAGGCTGCAAAGCTACACAGAGAAAGATTGTAAAAGCATAACGATTCTGCATAGGTGGGTAGGGGGACTAGCCTGAGACATTCCAAAAGGAAGGGCAAGGCACAGTTCCAGAAAACATCACCAAACAGCCAACATCTCCCACAGAAAGATTCGTTAACTTACATGACAACTATACATGCATGCTCAAGTTTCTTGACCTTTGTTCTGTCTGCTCTGTGAAACAGTCATGTTAAACAGTCATGTTAATTCCAAGTAGATTATGTCAGAACTGAGTTGAAATTGTAGGAATCCTAGATGGTGTTAGAGAATTGTTTGGTATGGAAACCCCCCCCCCCCCACACACACATATATTTGGTGTCAGAAACGTGTAGATGATGAGTGTATACATCAAACAAGTATGTTTTTAAAAACATTTATTTAAGTGTGTGTGTGTGTGTGTGTGTGTGTGTTCAGAGCACAGAGGCATCAGATCTTTCCAACTACCATGTAGGTTTCAGAGGTGGAACTCTGGTCATCAGGCCTAACAGTAAGTGCCTTTACCTACTGAGCCATCTTGACCATTTCGGTTTTCCTCTTTTGAATAGCACTTATGCTATTACAATTTCTTTATTAACAAATTTGCTCTTTATACTTGAAAATTTTGTTTTTACTCTGGGCATGGTGTCACACGCCTTAAATCCTAGCACTCAGGTGGCACAGGCAGGCTAATCTCTATGAGTTCAAGGTCAGCTTGGTCTATATAGTGAGTTCCATGTCAGTCAGGGCTATATACAGAGTCAGTGTCTTAAAAACAAAACAAAACAAAAACTCTCAACAACTTTCTTACGTGTGTGGAGGGCAAGGTCAGACTCTTGCATATAGTATAGAGATATTCTTGGACTGTTTTCTTCAGATAATTATTCTTATTTTTTTTCTTTCTAATGAGTTTTCAATAACTTATTTAGAAGGTCTTTATCTCACCTGAATCAAAATTCCTTTGCCAAAGCTCCCTTAGGACTTTCTGCGTTGGCCCGTGAGGCAGCACAGGAACTCATAAAAGCAACCCAAAATGAAGGCCCCAGACACTAAATGCAGACTCCCTCCTCTGCTTTCCAGTGTTTTCCCTCAGTTTCCTCACTAGTAAACAGTAACTTGGGGTTTCCCCCAAGGGTATAACAGGGGCTACATGAAGAAAGCTATGTCAAGCAGATTCCACATCTTGTGTGCCCAGTGATTGTTAAGTTAGCAGAACCAGAGTCTGCTGACCCAACAAGATTACACAAGAACATGCTTTCATTTCCTTCCTCTTTTCTTAAATCATCTCCTAAACTCCACCAGACTCTGACCGAGCTCTTGAATGACTTTGGAGACACAGATGTTTCAGAATGGGCATTCTGGAAGCCAATGGCTGCTTCAACCACTGACAATTTTGCTGCTGTTTGGTGAGTGGGGGTCACTCTGAAGTAGAGCAATTTCAGCCTCTCCCAGCGTGTGGACTCCAGAGACTAGGACAGAGGAACAGGCCTGGGTTAGAAGCCGGAGAGAGATTTTAAAAAAAGGGAAGAGAGCCAGGTCTGGTGGTACCTGCTCGTGATCCCAGCACTTGTGCGGTGGTGATGGGAACCAGGAGTTCAAGGATAGTCTCAGCTACAGTGAGTTCCAATTCCAGGCCAACCTGGCTTCTCGGAGACCCTGACGAAAAAAGAGGGTTTTAGAGCTGGGTGTGGTGATCCATGTCTTAGCAATTAGGAGACAGAGGCAAGTGGTTAATCTGGTCAACACAGTGAGTTCCAGGCTGGCCAGAGCGATATGGTGATATCCTGTCCAACAACAACAACAAAACGAGGATTCTAACTTCTTACTACTCTAGTGTTTTTTAAGTTCAGAATTCAGAGGTACCTTTACAGTTCCTGGAAAGTCTGTCTTGCATCAAACGTTCATACTTGCTTTGCAGCTGTGCAAACCCCTTGGCAGGATAAGGTGAGGAGGATATGAGAGGTAGAAACAGACTCTTGAGGAGGGGAAGAGGCTCCAAGCCCATCCTGACTTCCCTTATGTATGATTCTATTTGCTTTCATCTGCTGCTACTCCACACTGACCGTTTCTCTTCTTATTTACAGCTCTTGCAGACAGGCAGACTGGTAAGTTTATGCTTCCCTTGTTTTCATGGTTTTACTTCCTTACAATAAAATGCTGTACTTACTTTGTAGGGAAATGTCTGTTCTACCAAGCATCAGGCTTGGGTTCAGACAGGGTAGTTCTTTCAAGGCAGAGCCTGAAGAATAATCCTTGCTAAGATTCCAACTGGATTGCCCAGGAATCCAAGGGAAAGAGGCGATTGCAAGTACACAATTATTTTAATGGTCTAGAGATTGATCCCAGGATCAATACCATTGAGGTACAACCCTAGGCCCCCCCCTTTTATTTTTCTTTTTTTCTTAGTTTTTCGAGACAGGGTTTCTCTATGTAGTTTTGGAGCCTATCCTGGCACTCGCTCTGAAGACCAGGCTGGCCTGGAACTCACAGAGATCCACCTGCTTCTGCCTCCCGAATGCTCGATTAAAGACGTGCGCCCTAAACACCCGGTCAACTTTAACCCTTTTAAAATTTATTTTGAAACAGACTTGCTGAGTTGCCCACAAGTGGTCTTGAATGAATTATTATGTTTTACAGTCAGATCTTAAATGCTGCATATGTTCTGTTGGTAGATTACAGTTGTGAGTCATCATATTCCCGGATCTTTACTGGATCAATGACAGCATCTCTGGCCCCTGGGCTCCCCTTTGGAATCCACAGTCTCTCAAAGTTTACCTGTTCACATTTCTTTTTGTTCTCTTACTCTCAGCGGATCTCCCGAAGGCTGTGGTGAAACTTGAGCCCCCATGGATCCAGGTCCTGAGGGAAGACAGTGTGACACTGAAGTGTGAAGGGACCCACAGCCCTGGGAACTATTCCACCCAGTGGCTCCACAATGGGAGATCCATCCGGAGCCAGGTCCAGCCCAGCTACACGTTTAAAGCCTCAAGCAATGACAGTGGAGAATACCAGTGTCAAATGGGGCAGACCAGCCTCAGCGACCCTGTACATCTGGGAGTGATTTCCGGTTAGTAGACACGGGCCCAGGGAGGAGTTGGGATACCAGGCCCCAGGAATCTGCTTACAGGATAGAAGTTTACAAGAAAGAGGGTGGCCTGGTTTCTGGGAAGCATCACTGAGAGCCTTTTAGAAAGACATCATTTCCCTTTTCACACACTCTGTTTAGTACTGTGTTGAGGGGACAGCTGTTATCTGACTCAGTCCTGGTTAAGCAATAGGTTCAAGGTCACAGGAAGGCTGCTTCTAGAGAAACAGAAGGAAGTCCCTGCTTGATAAACATCACTTCTGTGATGGCTGTGTGAGGAAGCATGGAGACTGCGTGTAGACCTGCAGAGACAGGAGCAGGCTTGACAAGTATGGGGAGACAGGAGGTGAAACCTCCAAGAGAACTGAAATGTGGAAAACCAGGCCAGAGGTAAGGGGAAGGAAACTGTCATACATGTAGAAAAGGCTGTGTGATGGCTTTTATCCCTAAACGAGATGAGAGCCTATAAAGTAGTTTTTAAAACTTGAAACTATTTTTTTGGTTGTTGTATAAAACAACATATATTTGTGGAGGATGGCATGTGACATTTGTTATATGTATAAATTATTCAGTTCTTAAATTGGATTAGGCATACTTATCACCTCCAGTATTTATCATTTCTTTATAGAACAAACATTGAAAATCCTTATTTCTGTTTCTGCCCCCTTTCAAACATACAGTACAGTGGTGGTGCACGCCTTTAATCTCAGCACTCGGGAGGCAGAAGCAGGCAGATCTGTTTAAGGCCAGCCTGGTTTACAGAGTAAGTTCCAGGATAGGCTCCAAAGCTACACAGAGAAACCCTGTCTCAAAAAACCAGAGAGAGAGAGAGAAAGAGAGAGAGAGAGAGAAAGAGAGAGAGAGAAATATACTACAGTATAGTATCATTGTCTATAAAATATCTTACTCTACAATAGCACCTCAAAATACTCCTATCTGGCTGTAAATCATTACCTGCTGGTCAACCTTCCCCCCATTTCACCCTCTCCTCATTTCTTCCCAGCCTCCGCTAACTACCATTCTACTCTCAACTTCTGTGAGATCGACTATTTTCAATACTCTAATATGTGTGATATTACATACTTGTCTTTCTATGTCTGGCTTAACTCAACATAATGATTTCTAGTTTCATCCATGTTGTCAAAAATAGGATTCATTCTCATGGCTGAATAATATTCCATTGCGTCATCATGAGATAGTTTTAATTTAAGGAGTCAATGATCTGATTTAGGTTTGTATAAATATGCCACAATGTTCAGTTTAACAGTCTATAATGAAAATGCTCTTGGACACTATTCCTATGCCACTCCAATATCTGAAAATACAAGTATGTTTGTAGTTTACTTCAGATTACCTTGGTACCTAAGCCCTGAAGATGGGACACATAAGTACCTAGTGTTTTAGAGTCTCTTGTTTAAGACCAAGAAGGTGATTTTAAAAACAGTACTTTAGGGCTGAGTATGCTTGCAAATGCATCTGATCCCAGCACTCTGGGGGCATAGGTAGGTGTATCTCTGTCAATTCCAGATCAGCGAGGGCTACATAGTGAGACTGTCTCAAAATAAAGTAAGATAAAGTAAAATGGTTCTTTAAGGTCCCAGTGCCAGAGCTACACAAAGAATTGGAAGCCAGACTGGACTACATAAAATTAAAGATGGCACACACCTTTAATCCCTACTCAGAGCGGCAGTCGGATCTCTGTGAGTTCCAGGCCAGCCTGGTCTACAGAGAGAGTTCTAGGACAGCCAGGGTTATTATAGTGAATCCTGACAGATCTCAGAAACAAAGCAAAACAAACAAACAATTATTACCTGATGGGGCATGATAGCTCTTACCTGTATGTAATACCAACTGAGGCAGGAGGCTTGCTGCTTGCTAAAAGTTTGAGGCTAGCCTTCATTACATAATGAGTCTTGGCCAGCCTGCACTTCAGGGTCATAAACTCCTATATTGCCCTAAAGGGTCTTATGCTTTCATTTTTCATGTGGGTAGAGGAGTCTACTCAGGGTTGTGTTGTGCTTTCAAATGTTCTCTTTCCAAGACTGACATGTTGCAATTGTACCCCCCAGGGGGAGATAGTATTAGGAGGTGGTCCTTGGGGAGGTAACTAAGTTTTGAAACTGGAGTTCTTATTATGGAGATCTACGAAAATTCTATAAGAGTGTGATAATAAGCCTCAATTCTATAGACTAGGAAGTGAACTCTCATCAGATGTAAACATTTCTGGCCTCTTGCTTTGGATTTCACAGACTCCAAAAATTTGAGAAGTAAATGTACATTGTTTATAAGCCATGGAGGTTATGTTTTGTACATTTATTTATTAAGATAGAACATCATGTAGCCCAGCTAGACTCCAGCTCACTATTTAAGAGAGGATGACCTTGAAGTCCTGATCCTCCCAGGTTCTAGGATTACAGGCATGCATTACTACATCTGGCTCATGGGTGCTTAATTTATGGGTCTTTCTTAAGCAGCCTGAGTAGACCATGGCAGAGAAGCTTGCGATTATTCAGGCCCCACTCATTGCTAAAACAGCTGATGGCCACTTACCTCACTTTCTAAGATTTGTTCAAAAGCCATATCCTTAAATTAGTAATCCTAGACCATAAACACTATACTTACAATACACTGAAGGACTCAGGCTCTATTCTATAACTCCTATAGCTACTGAAATTAATGTATTTCCTACACGAGTATGGTGTTTTTTAATCCGTAAAACTGTTTTAAAAGTTATTTTAACATCTCATAGATGTAATGCCATGCTTTCCCTGTGTGAGTCACGTGGGTCTGTGTAAAAGGAAGACACAAGGGCTTTATAGGGTTTTGTTTGGTTTTGCTCTTTGAGACAGGGTTTCATGTAGTTCAGGCTTGCTGTGTAGCTGAGGATGACGCTGAATGTTGACTGCTGTGTCTCCACCTCTGAGGCGTTGTGATTGTACACTTCCTGACTGGGTGCTATGATTGAACCCAGGCCCTCATGCATGCATTCTTCTACTGAGCCATAGCTCCAGTCCCTTAGTGTCTTAGTAAATTTTCTTTCCAACATTTTTGGAGGTTCAAAAAGTTCTACTGTCCCCCAAACAGAAGGTTCTGTTGTGTCCTCTTCACATCCATCAGGCTGGATTTCTCTTTCCTGCCGGGAAGGGCTTGGATCTCCATGTCTTGTTACTTCCTGACAGGACTGGGTGGCAGCTGCCTTCTTTCAAAAGAGGAAGGAGAATACTTTGCACCAAGAGCCATTATAGCTGCAAGATCTGATCATGCCCATTTCACAGATGGGCAAATTGAGGCCCAGAAGAGTTTAATTACTTGCCCAAGACTGAAGAGCTTGTAAATGAGTGGAATTAGGATCAGAGATCAAGATTGTCTGATGACAAACTAAAGCTCTCTCCCCTTAGCATATCATATCTCACCAGGAAGGATGGCCTGGGTCTCAGAGCTGAGCCAAGACTCTCTGAGTCCTATAGTCTTTTTGTGTCTTTCAGACTGGCTGCTGCTCCAGACCCCTCAACTGGTGTTTGAGGAAGGGGAGACCATCAAGTTGAGGTGCCACAGATGGAGGAACCTAGCCATGAGCAAGATCATATTCTACCAGAATGGAAAATCTGTAAAATATCAACATTCTGTTGGCAGCTTCTCCATCTCCAAAGCAAATCACAGCCACAGTGGTGAATATTACTGCACAGCACATCTAGGAAAGTCACAATACACATCAAAGCCTGTGACCATCACTGTCCAAGGTATGGGGACTCTGTCAAGATGTTGGAAGGGAGAAGAGGAGATAGACAAACGCTAAAGTTGTATAGCCCCACATGGAGATCTAGGAATGCCACAGCAGCAAAATGGGCGTGGAGGCAAAGAGGAGAGCTGTGAAGGCCTTGCGGAGTGATAGCAGGTGGGCTCAGCCCAGAGCTCCTCACTTGCAGGTCTTAGGGCAGCAGGGCGATTGGGCAGCAGTCAAACAGAGCCTTGTCATTGGTGCATAGGTTCTCTAAGTTCCTAGGCATTCCTAAGAGCTGAAGTTTAGCTTCTTGTATCTCCTACAGATGTGGCATGGCCACCCTTTAGAAATACAGATTTAGCAACATGTGGGGGACTGCTGAGAGATAAAAAGTCCATCGAAGGCTCCCCAACTTATATGCTCTTGTCCTTTTAAATACTTGGTGTGATGGCTTTGCACTAGGGACCTCACTGTTTCTTCTGAATTTCTGTCTTAATGGCTCATTTCTTCCAATTCTTCTGACTCTCCTACCAGGTTCAGCAACTACACCCGTCATCTCTCTACTTTGGTACCATGCCGCTTTCTGCCTAGTGATGTGCCTCCTGTTTGCAGTGGACACGGGCCTTTATTTCTATGTACAGAGAAACCTTCAAATCCCCGTGGAGGAGTGGAGAAAAACCCTGTCAGTCCGAAAGTGTCAGGTTCCTCAGGACAAATGACATTGCGTCATACGGCAGAACCGCAGTGGCAGCAGCATCTTTTCAGCCATACTGTTGCTTCTCTTACAGTTTTCCTCGAAAGTAACTTAGAGCCAGGCCCCATGTGCGGTCCTGTAATTTCAACTACTTAGGAGGTTGTGGCAGGAGGATCAGAAGTTCAAGGCCTGCCTAGGTGCCAGAGTGAGTATAAGGCTAGATATCTGGATAACTAAGTAAGATCCTATTTCAAGAAAAGTAGGCTGGGTGGGGAGTGCGTAGGTGTGTGTTTAGATGGCTCACCAGGAAAGGGCAACCATTGCTGAGCCTGCCATAGAGCAGAGTTTGATCCTTGAAACCCATATGACAGAAGAAGGGAACAAATTCCTGAAAGTTGTCCTCTGACCTCCACACACTCAACATGGTAGGCCTTGGTGCCCCTTCTCTGTCTACATGCACACACAAAACAAAGAAATTTAAATGTACTATTTTTTCAACAAGAAAGGGAGGGGAAAAAAGGGCTGAGAATTGGTGGCAGAACTGTTACTCAGTTTACATGATGTCCTGGGTTTGCCCTCTAGCAATAAAACAAAAAAATCAATCCGGGTTAAGGATTTCCTTTTTGTGACTTCTTTGCTCAAAATAATTTAAAAGCTTTCCCTTGTACTTAGAAGGAAATCTAATTAATGACTTTTCATTGTTCTCTAAGATGATACCATATGATCTCACCTCTCTGATCTCATTCCTTCTGCTTTTCCTTGCTTGTTCTTGGTCAGTTTTGTTCCTCCTTGAACACACACCTATACTTCATATACCACCGTTTTCTATTTCAGGGATGTCCTTGCTTACAGAGACCCACATCCTGTTTCACTGTGCACTTGTCCTTTGTTTAAATAAGAATTGTTCCAAGCAAAACTCAGACTGAGGCTTGATCCTCAGTGCATTCAGATTATCAGGGATGATGGTATACCTCCACCAATGCATGGGTTGATGCTTTTCAGGAGGAATAGCTTAGTCACCCTGCAGCTTAGCAGCCCTTTGTCTCACAAATGCCCTTACTTGCTCTTGAACTAAAGTTTCTGTAACTGTGAACTAAATAAAAAATTTATTTATTTTTAAATAAAGATCCTAGTCTCTTATGCTTTACTGTAGCAACAGAAAACAGACTAAGATAATATCCTTTTAGTTTTCACTCAAATATTATCAGTAAGGGATCTTTGATTATTCAATAGTATAACTTTATTCCTCTACCATTTCTAAATCTCCTCCTTTTTACTTATTTTTAATCAATGTTCTGTATGCTTGCTTGTTTAGTGTGTGACTTTCCTCCTCCACCTCTTTCTTCTTTCTTTCTTTCTTTCTTTCTTTCTTTCTTTCTTTCTTTCTTCCTTTCTTTCTTTCTCTCTCCCTCTCTTCTTCCCCTTCCTCCTCCTCTTTCTTCTTGAGGCAAATAGCCCTGACTGTACTAGAACTCACTATGTAGACCAGGTTGGCCTAGGAACTCACAGAAATTCACCTGCCTCTGCCTCCTGAGTTCTGGGATTAAAGGCGTGCGCCACCATGCCTGGCCCTTCCCCCCCTTTTTATCTTCTAAGATGCTTACCAGAATGCTGAGTGTGCTTGCCAGTATCACTTGTCTTTCTCACTGTTTTCTTGAAGACCTCCAGCCTCCTTTTATAGCTGCTTGCAGACCTCCATTGCTGACCTCAAAAGGCATGACTTCTTCATCTCCACCCTCCTGGCAGCTTCTGGGATTTGCAGAGGGCCCACTCTGGATTTCCCTCAACTTCTAATGAAATGATCCTTGAGTTTCCTTATAAGTTTGCTTTTAGGTTCTTCTATCAATGAGACTGAGAACTTGCAAAAGGGAACTCTGATTCTCTAGAATAGGCTGGGTTTTCTGGCTTTCTGGGTCGTGTCCAGTCTCACCCCCCCCCCACACACACACACACTCTGCTATGCAGAAGCTCTTTCTGTGTGTCTTCTGAGGCATGCCATTCTTCAATTGCTGTTCCTGTCTGTGATGTTTCTCCATTATCACCTGTTGAGCTGAGATTTTTCTTGCCTTTTAATTCTTTAACTGGCAGAGAAAATGAACTCAATGAAGACCCCTAGACTGCATTGTGAGACCCAGGTTTGTATTCCCTGGTGAGTGTGTGTGTGTGTGTGTGTGTGTGTGTGTGTATGAGAGAGAGAGAGAGAGAGAGAGAGAGAGAGAGAGAGAGAGAGAGAGAGAGACAGACAGACAGACAGACAGACAGACAGACAGACAGACAGAGAGATCCAGCTTCTTCTTTAAGGGCATTTTTGAATTTCAATTTCAATATAAGTCCAACATCAGACAGTCAAAATGGAATGTTCTGAATTAAAGAAAATGGGACACGATAAAAAGTCTCAATTTTCAAAACACAGTGGGAAGTAATGTAGTTTCACTGCTTGGTGAACTCACTTCGGCCTTTAGGGCAGTCAGTGGTTCTCAATCTGTGGGCCGCGACCCTCTTGGGAGCTGTGTGAGGGACCCTTACACAGGGGTCACATATCCGACGTCCTGTATATCAGATATTTACATTACGATTCATAGCAGCAGCAAAACTACAGTTATGAAGTAGCAAGGAAAATAATGTTATGGTTGGGGTCACCACACCATCAGGAACTGTATTAAAGGGCCGCAGCATTAGGAGGGTTGAGAACTACTGCTTTGGAGCATATGATTGACTGATACTACAGCAATTTATTCTAAATCTGAATCTGCCTAAGGGGGGGGGGGGGGAAATGGTTCACAGATAAAAAATACAAAGTCTTTCCAAAACGCTCTGAGGACGATGCCTCTTTGGGGGAGGAACTTTACAAGATTAGTACCAAAACACAGGAGCGAAATGCAGGCTTCCCTACGTGTAGCGTTCCCATGGTTGGTGGGTTAGGTTCCCGAATCTTCGGAGGTGAACAAGTGAAAAAACTGGAGTCAAGTCGAAAGTACCCTGAGTTCCAGAAGAAGGAAAGGACAAAAAAATCCGCGTGCATTGGCCGGGAATCGAACCCGGGCCTCCCGCGTGGCAGGCGAGAATTCTACCACTGAACCACCAATGCTAGACATGAGAAATGGGGTTCCAGTACTACTATTTCATGTTATCTCTACTCCTAGTTACACTTAGTACGTACTGAATTGATTTCCAAAAGCCGACCTTTGTGTTTCAAGAATTCATTCTTTTAAGACAAACCGTACACCCCTATTTACATTTTAGAAGCTATGGTTCTGTTTACGTGGCTTTCTGAAGCAGGGGTAGGGTGGTGGGGTAGGTTGGGTTGGGTTGGGTGGGGCAGTGGTGGGGGTGGGGGGCAGCCTCAGCCAGCCCGTGAGCAGAACTGCCCTCCAACTAGCAAAAGGGAGAACTTGTTCGCAGCATTGCTGCCTTGACTTGGCGGCTGTCGCATGTAGAAGCGGCCTGGAAGAACTGGAACTTTCTGTGTGGTTCTGTGAAGCAGCTCTGAGCCAACGTAGGGAATGGGGACCAGCCAGCTGCTCCGCTCTCCACCTCTGCCGGCCGCTGGGTCAGAATTTTCTGCGGGAGTCAGCACGGCCGGTCGTGGCCGGGTCCGAAGGCTCGGGTGGGAGCAGAAGGTGTGGGAAGGTTCTCGCCAGGGAGGGAAGGAGGAGACCCGGCTTCTACCCCGGATGAAAAGCCGGTGGCGCCGAAACGGACCGATCCCAGCTAGTCTGGCTTGAGAGACAGCGAAAGGACGGCGGCGTTGAGCAGAACCAACTCCTGCCACCTCGAGCATCTATCTAAGTCCTGTTCCAACCTGAGTGCCAGAAGCTGTGTCTGTCTCTAGGGAAGTGGTACCTTGAAGATCAACTTCTTGTGCGGAGGTGTGGGCTTCTACACGTCCACTACTCATGTCCACTTTGAGGAAATGTTGCTCAGACCTTTTCTGCAGCCCCCTGGAGCCCGTAGAGATGACCCTGAGCGAAGCCAAGTTGGTCAAGGCCCAAACCCATGAGGTCATCCTGGTGGGTGATTCTACTCGTATCGCTAAGGTGGAGAAGCGTCTGTAAGACTTCTTCAACGTCAAGAAGCTGATCAAGAGCATCAACCGGATGAGACTGTGGCCCGTGGGGCTGCCGTGCAGGTGGCTGTGTGGAAAGTGCAGGATCTTCTGCGGGATGCGGCTCCTTTGTCCCTGGGGCTGGAGACGGTGAAGTGATGACCACATTCATCCGGTGGAGTGCCACTGTGCCTACCAAACAGACCCAAGCCTTCACTACTCTGATAACCAGCCTGGGGTCCTGATCCAGGTGAATGAGGGTGAGAGGGCTGTGATGAAGAACAGCAACCCGCTGGGCAGCTTTGAGCTCAGTAGCATTCCTCCTGCTCCCGTGGAGTCCCCCAGATCAAAGGAAATGTTGACATAGATGCCGATGGTATCTTAAGTGGACAGCCACAGACAGAGTCAGGCAAGGCTAACAAGATCACTATCACCAACGACAAGGGCCAGCTCAGCAAGGAGGAGGTGGAGAGGGTGGCTCACGAAGCTGAATAGTACAAGGCTGAGGTCCGGAGGGACAGATTCCAGAAGAGGACAGATGCAAAGGGCAAGGCAAGCGTCAGGAAGTCGGGCCTGGTGGAGCACAACCAGTTGGCAGGCAAGGAGTGTATGCATCACAAGGCGGCACTGGAGCAGACCTGCTGCCCCATCTTCTGTAGGTTTTATCTGGGGCCTGGTGTTCCAAGGGGTAGCAGTAGCGGAGCTCAAGCTTGCCCGGAGAGGCCTAGTACTGGCCCCATAACTGAGGAAGTTGATTGAATGACCTGTCATGATACGTCATCTATGTCTGTAAGGGCTGGACTTATTGGTCTTCTAGACTCTTCTATAATCCTACCTTATTATGATGGGAAAATTAATAACTAAGAGACATAAACGTTTAGGCTGTGACAAAGAAAGAGAGCCCCCTGACCACGGAGTACGTGACCAGAAGCTCAGACCCGCCAGCAGCTGGGTCAACATCTGCCACTACCTCCTTGCCTTGAGAAGACTGGGAACCAGATGGCCTCTTGCCCTACCAGTGGTAAAACTTTTAGGTCACAGGATGGGTATCAATCATAAGTCCCTAGCCTGCAGATGTGCCATTTAATTTTACCTAGTCGGATGACAGTTATTGCCTTCTTTATTCAAGGCCCTTTGTTTGATGATAACCTTGTATGGGAACTTTGTGTGCTAAGTAGTCTCTGTAACCATGGGAAACTTGCAAACTGAGACTTGTGGTCTCATGATCCCCCTCCTTTTCCCTTTAAAAACGCCTTGTAATTGTAAGATGGGCCTTACTCTCCCAATAGAGTAGGGTCTTGGCAGGTTTGGTTACTAATTAAAAAAAAAAAAACTTTTGCACTTGCAGTCAGTGGCTATTTGGCTCCACGGAGGTTTTGGGATCTTTCTTCCTGGGCACAACACTTATATCTTCAGAGGTGAATGGGGGTATCTTGCCCTGGAAGCTGGGAGCTTTTTTCTCATTATGTTCTATAATTGAGGTCTGTGTTGTTTGATTTTCTTTTTTTTTAAGATCTATTTCTTGCTAGATGTGATGGTGCATGCCTTTTATCCAAGCACTCAGGAG